ATTACAGGAAGAAGGAATTGTACACTATAATTCAGAACATAATAATGACAGGTCAGTTTTAGTGAAGGGAGATGGATGGATTTTGTGATTTAACTAAAATGAATGGAAGACGATATAAATTAAAAAACATAACTTTATTTGATAAAGATCCACTGTTAACATCTCCTTAATTGCATAATCTAAATTCTATGCATTTGCAATTATACACATGTAACTAAATATTATCTAACTCTAACGTTAGTAATAGTAGGTCTATTTTAAGCATTAGGCTTAATACATAAATGTAACGTAAGGCTTAACTGAAACACTACTTCAATGAAATCCTTGGTAGCTTTTATTTTGCTTTTGTCTACAACACAATATCAAAACACTTAGATGTTCATTAAACTAAAAAATTATATAAATAAAATGTTTTTAACTTATCATGGTGCAATAAGAGAGCATAAAGTACTATTTGTTTTGTAATTAAGCCTAAAGTAAAGATGTAGTGTTCAATAACTTACCCTAGACCTAAGTGCATAAAATTTCTCATGAAAAAACAAAAACAAAATATTTAAAAAAATAAAAGAATAAAAAAACGTTTCTAACAAATCAACGTGTACATTAAATATTCAACATTAACACCACAGTTGGCCTAACAACATCAGTTGGTATTTTTTTGCAAAAAAAGGAGCATGATATGAAGACAGAAAGTGCCTAATATATATATATCAATGGCATGCAAGTTATGGCATGTTAATTAAGTTTTGTTTTTGAACACTTTTAAACATCCAAGAACATAAATGCTACATTCAGATTCATTTTATGACATTAATTTATTTAACTTTTTTTTTTTTATATACAAAACATTTTCCTTTACTTTTTTTTGAGAAATGGGTTTAGGTGTGATTATACAACCAAATATGCCAGAAGCTTTTAAAATGAGTGTTGAACATTGTGAAAAATATTTAATAGATTTTTTGGATCAATTATGATCTAAGTGTACTAACGTGAATGTAATGTGAAGGGTCTTTTAGAGTTGTGCTGTGCAAACAGTGGGGCATGCACCCAAAAAGGGGCATGAGAGACAGTAGGGGGGAAGGGGAGCAACCATGATTACTATAGGAGCATATAAATTATATCAGTGAGTACAAATTTAAAAACAAAGAAGTTTTAAAAACTACCATACAAATATTACTACTGTTAAGTAGTATAGTAACAACATTTAACATGGGAAAATGACAGGCAAAGTACAGACACAAATAAGATATATATATATATATATATAGGGTAAAAGCAACACAACACATGTTTAGAAGGAAGAATGGGTGGGGAGCATAAAAGAGTTTGTGCAACACTGTTTTAGATCACTATGTGCAATTTTCAAATCCTTAGTAATGAAATGCATTAAATACTAAAAGACATGTCAATGTGGGTCCAAATATTGCTAAAATTAAAATGAACTGCCAAAATGTGAGAAACTACAATAGTTATACTTTATTAAAGGAAATGTAGTAGATTCAATGTACTTAACACAAATTATAGAAGACATGTTTGGTATCAATATAGTCAGCAAGCCAATAGATATGTAGAGTTATTAGGGCATAATCAGACCTTACAGTGTGTGCTCACCTCTTCTCTACTGGACAAACTCTGGTTGCAGGAGGAGGAAGACTATGTGAGGAGTAACTCATACTACACTGAAAGTGTCACCACTGCTCTAATTCTAACAATGTTGCACTAAGCCAAAATAGTGAGGATTCTTCATGGTAAGTGGCAAGAGTCTCTGATGCTCTACATGAAGAAAAGGAGAGAATTCACACTGGAGAGACCCGGAAAAGTGCCCAGATCCCCCATCAGGCCACCAGCCGAAAAAGTCTTTTACTGGAAATGGTGCAATGGGTGACTGCAAAATTCTATTTTTAAATGTAGGCAAATCAAACATGAACCAAATAAGTGGGCAATCATTTCTCTGGTGCTGGCTTTTCTGTGATAGTCCATGGAATTGGTATGGCCTGGATCAGATACTTGAGTAAATGTGAACACCACAGAGATACCTCTAGTAATCTTGTGGAACACCCCATCTTGCAGGGACACTGGTAGAGTCAAAACAGACGGATGGTTTGAGCACTTTCTGTTACCTATGGCCTGATGCAGATTTTGAGAAATAAGCATACCATGGGGGCAACACCAACCACCTGGTGGGATCCTCAATGAAGGAAGGGAGAGAAAAGGAATGAAAATACATACTTACCAATATCAAAGATGGTGGGCTGACTGAAGAATGGCAAGTGGAGAAAGTCGAAATCCTGAAGGAGACAAAACTGCCAGATGATGAAGAGTGACAAACGTGCAAGGAGTCATCCACATGCTCACCTGGAGAATATCATTTATGGGCTGGCAAAGATGGGAAGCAAAAGAGTGGGACAGGTGATAAATCTGATGCATATAAATGTGAAATAGTCTGCAAACATCCATATTCAGGGAAGAATATATCAACTGAAGGTGTTGAAAGAACCATCCAGTAAAGGTATAAAAAGAGAGGTACCTAGAAGAAGAGGGGAGCCAGAGTAGGAACAGACAATGATGGGGGCTCAAAAAAGGAAACGTCCATGATAAGTAACACCAATTATCCAAAACAGTACATAGAAAATTACCTGGTTTTCAACAAACTACTCCTTGGGTAGAAATGCAGTCTGGCTGAGAGAAGTGGTCTGCAACAAGGTTTATAGCTCTTGGCACATGACAAGTGACCAAGCAGTAGAGGAAGCCCAATGCCCCACAGCAAAGAGTCCCAGAACAGATGCTCTCTAATTGGTTAATGTTATAAATGACTGTGGAATTGTTGGAGTAGATCTTGACCAAGTGATCTATCAGAAGAGGTAGGAAGTTGGAACAGTGAGGAATAGCAAGAAGTTCAATCACATTGATGTAGAGTGAGCTCTTGTCTTGGATCCAAATACCCGAAGTCATGTCATCATTTAGAGATACATCCTAACCTGAGAGGGAAGCACTGATGAAGAGATGAAGATCCAGTCTCTGGGTTGATAAGGGAATGCCAGACGTAGTATTGGCACAGTATAGTCACCACAATAATCCCACATCTGCTCAATGCAATGCTGAGGAAAAAATTGAAGTTGTCACAAATGCAAGTGCATAGAGTGATTTACAGCACATGGAGGTTGTGTCTTCCTCCTCTTAAGCAGAGTGCTATTGTTGCATGATCACATCATCAATCACCAGCACAGTTCATATGAAATACATGGAGTTAGATCAAGGATAGTGTCATGCAAATCTTGTAGGCAGAAGTGAGAAGGAAACAGAATTTTTGTGTGAGGAGGTGAGTTATTGTCTCAGAAAACTTATAGCTTAAAACACTACCATTTCAGCATTTAATACTGTATTCGTTACTGTAAGAAACTCGGTGAATTTAATAAGTATAAAGATATACGTCTATAAATAGTCATCAGTGCAGTTTGTATACTTAACTCCTTTAGCATGGGTTCAGTACATGGGAACAACTTCGTAACCATTTTGTACTTGTTATAGTTTTCATGCTATAACCTTTAAATTAGTAAGCATACGTTAACGAAATTTGGCAGATTATCAGTAAACATTACAATACTTTCATACGCAAAATATCAATTTTTTTATTAAGTCTTAAGGTTTGTAAAGTAATGTTTTTCTCATGTTTTATTTTTCTTTTCGCAAGTTGTCTATCCAACATGCAAAGTAATTTTCATTTTAAGATTAAAAATACTTTTGTGCATCAGAAAAATTTTAAATTTCACATTTGCTATCTTCATAATGTCCAGATAGTTATCAAATGTTTCTTAAAAAAAAGAATTTTAATTCATCTGTAATTTTCAATAACGAATCTCTGTACGGGTTTGGTTGATTTGACCAAATTAAGAAATAAATATAAATTATGCCTTTTTCGTTCAAGAATGACTACAAATAGCTTAAATCTCATAATACATAATACATTTATATATATATATAT